GATGACGAACGACGAATCCAATGGTGAAAGTTATACAGCAACTGGCGCAGTAGATTGGAGTTCTGAGTTGACTAGTTTGCATGTTAAGTTTTCCCTTCACGTTTTTGGGATGCTTTACCCCAGGTCATGTCCTGATATAGCCAACCCATGACTCGCCTAATTGAATGGAATCGATCGGTAAATGTTTCAAGGCGATCGGACAGGCCATTTCGTAGAACGAGCGCGTCTGCTTCATGTGTCCGTTTTTAAACCCTGCCATTTGAAACTGCGCATCCGGTTACATTTTTCCGGTCGTTGTGAACGCCGTTGTAAGTAAATGGTGAGGATGGTATCGCTTTCGGCTGGTGTGTGCTTGGTACAGACAGATTAACTGACGGCAAAGCATGTGAGTTTGGTGCTGATTTAAGTGGCATTCCCGAGAATGGCCGGATTTAACCTTCGCTCTGATGCGGGAGAAGCTGGCGAAGTCTGACCTTACAGATTGTGGAGTAATAGTACGAGGGTAGTCACTGTCGTTGGATGATGACAGCGTCTGTCTTATCCCTCAAGGACGTTGGTGACGCTGGTGGAGCAGCGCATGCTACCTGTGCATGCCATGCCCATGTTGCTGGCCAGCCGCATCAGCTCGCTGCTGCTGACCGTGATGGAGATGCCGCACTACGCGAGCCCTCTGGACGGCGACGTAGACACGCCGGTGGTCAGGGGGCCCGAGCAGCTGATAGCCAACTGTATGTCGAAGCATGAAACGGCACACGACGCGCGGCGCCGGGCGCTGATTGCCGACGACCCTGTCTTTACCCAGGTGCTAACGGCAACTCGCCTCGACCCCACGCGTCACTGATGGATTTTGTTGCGCGCATCCCGCACTGTTTCACGCAGTGGGTCAGACAGGGGATGCAAACAAACAGGTTGCGGTCATGTACCGGTGATGATTCTCTTCCTCCGTGAAGCGACGTTTTTACTGGTACTGCCTGTCGCGTGGTCGTGCTCCTGTGATGGCCGTCGCTCGAGATAGCTGGCTGGCTTGCGGCTGAAGATGTGTGACAGGATCAGCGGGCTACGGTGAATCAAATGTTCATTGGAGCGCGGCCTGTGTGATCACAAGAATAACAAGAATGGCAAGTGTGAAGAAAGCAGGTGATGGTAGCCTTGAGAATGGCGTATTAAAGCTGATTTACTGTGAGGTCCGATTCGCCCACCTCATATTCAAACATTGTTTCGTATGTTTATTTCCATGTGTCAAAAATGAAATAACATCAAACTTCTCTGGGATGTTGTTTGTAACATAAAATGCACTTCACATATGCAACATTTGCAGAGTACAGAACTTATACTTACCCAAAGTATTCGGCTTTTCACGGACCTGCGGATACACTGTAGTAATGTCATAAGAATCCAAAGCAGCGGCGGCGAGAACGATCACTTTGCATTTGTGTAATAGTGGGGTGATACCTCCTGACCAGACGGTTTTCCGGAAATGATTGTTCGAAGCCCGATCGAAAGCACAAGGACGGATCAACTGTCCGTCCAAAAGTGTCCAAAAACCAGATTGTCCCCAAAATATTCTCATGGATAAAAATACAACTGCTTAATACAACCAATAACTACACGTTCTCACTACCCACGTTACTGCGCTCCTTAATCCTAACCGAATTTTGAAAGGAAAACAGCATGCTCGTGGGCAAGTAAGGAGAATCACGGACTCACGGACGAAATTGACATCCGGCAGGTTTCACTGTCAATAAGGTTGCGATATGAAATTGGCACATTGCACGCCTTGTAACTCGGAAGTTACGCAAAATCCCACCCCAAATACAGTGATTTCGGAATCAGCGTGACGAGGTCATGCACACCAAATTTTGAGGCGATCGTGACGCCCCGGAATATGCAACGGGCAATTGGATATCAATCTGGTGCTAGATTGACGGGATTGACGGACGTTAATAAACTTCGGTATGCTTAGTACTAACCGGTACTAAAAACCTTTCCCTTCTTCGGAAGTATTGGTACTGAATACTCACGAGGATGCGTTGGCGAATCATATGATCAAACGGGGGGGGGGGGGGGGGGGGGTCCAAAGTCTAGTATAAATATGGGAGCAACGGCGCACATTTCACGACTAGCCATAGGGTTCCCATGTTAAAATGACATTCTTCAGGCCCACGGCTTTCTAAATCTTGAGCATATATATGCATGAAAAGTGCATAGAAATGAAGCTTGAACAATTCTCTTTCGATTTCCATCTCAAAAGTGTGCGCCGTGGCACTCATTTTCGAGCTATCAGGCAAAGCGCAGACCCATGCACGCACCACGATGTCTAGGCGTGAGATCGAATCCCGCTGCCGCCAACTCTTTTCAGCAGAGTCGAGATGAAACACGGAGTGAAAACGGCCACTGACTGGCGATGGAACTATTGAGTGCAACAATATTGTGATTATATACGAAGATACACACACAAACACCCACACCCACACCCACACCCACACCCACACCCCACACCCACACCCACACCCACACCACACCACACCCACACCCACACCCACACCCACACCCACACCCACACCCACACCCACACCCACAACCCACACCCACACCCCACACCCACACCACACCCACCCACACCCACACCCACACCCACCCACACCCACACCCACACCCACACCCACACCCACACACACAACACACACACACACACACACACACACACACATATATATATATATATATATATATATATATATATATATATATATATATATATATATATATATATATATATATATATATATATATATATATATATATGGTATCCATATATATGCATACTATGCATAGCCTGAAGATGCATCTGCTGTGCTGTGAAATGTGCTGCGAGCTATTACAAGGAAAACACATAAGATCTTTTTGTGTCTATCAAATATACCTGGCAGGTGTTATGCAGCCGTCGGGCTACGTGCAACAGCCAATGGCAGGGGCGCACAACATTATTGTGCCTGATGTATGGAACGCGACGGTAGCAGTCCAAAGCTGGCCGTCCAACACGCCCAGAGGTAGGACCAGGCACTGTGTTAGGTTCTCAAGTTGTGATGCTGGCGGCCACTGCTGTGAAGGGCCGGCAATGCCGCCTCAGGACCAGCGCAGCGATGGTAGCTTGGTAACATTGCAAGCACCGCTGATTGGGAAGCAGTTGTGCTTAAAAGTGGGATGGCAAGCATTATAATGATAAGTGCCATAATGGCCAGCTGTACTGCACAAAGGCCCTAATATGACAAAGTTCATAAAACTTCTTTGGTTGATCTTGAAGAGCTTAAACACCATGACAGACCTATGGCCGAAGTAACCATGCTCCCTAAAACCATTTGCACAAAGGGTTTTTGGCATGAGGTGAACGCAAACATTTTATAATTGGCTCCACTCAATAAATTAACCTGAAAAATCTTGCTCTCACATCACAAAACCTGCAAAATAAATATTTGGAACTTCAATATGACATAATTGTGTTATTCCTCATCAAGCCTTGTAATTTATAACTTTAACTTTCATCCATTGATCTCAGAGTAGGAAAGGTACACAAAGCAGCTGAAGTGAAATGGGCAGCTTAGACAGATTTAGAAGGTTCATCAGTATCTGAAACATATGCAGCCTTACATATACAAACTATCAATGGACCTTAGATTAAATAGATGAAATAAAATCGATAGACCCCAAAACTATGCCCCAGTTATGCACATCTTTACATAAATACAACATGCTGTCCTTTTCTGAACAGTGCAGGCAGACAACTCCGGTCAGGTTGTACTTTCCTACCTAACGTTAGAAAAAATCATTGTACACCATTCGTCGTGTTTAAGGCAGGACATATCGCAAATAATCTCAAAACAGGTAGAATCATGCTCCTACCTTCGAATTTCAATAACTTCGATGGCGGGCTCCCGAGCGCCGCGCGCACCGCACCGCCTGGACTCCCCAGCGCCGCTTCTGCGTTGCCATTGCGTAAATACAATATTTCTGCTTACCAAGAACTCTACAAAATGTACGGGACCAAGGCAAACCATTCGTCGTGTTTAAGGCAGGACATATCGTAAATAATCACAAAACAGGTAGATTCATGATCTTACCTTCAATTTTTCATAATTACGATGGCGAGCTCCCGAGCGCCGCACACACACAGCACCCGCGACACCGGCGCCATTACTGCGCGGGTCACATTACTGCGCATCAAGCAGCATCAAGAACTATAAAAATGTAGCGGGCCAGGTTAGGTTAGGTTAGGTTAGGTTAGGTTAGGTTAGGTTAGGTTAGGTTAGGTTAGGTTAGGTTAGGTTAGGTTAGGTTAGGTCAGGTCAGGTCAGGTTAGCTTAGCTTAGCTTAGCTTAGGTTCTGGTCTATTCTCGGTTAGGTTAGGTTAGGTTAGGTTAGGTTAGGTTAGGCTAGGCTAGTTTAGGATATGTTCTGGGCTATTCTGGCCTGTGTGTTTCATAAATGTACCTAAACTCAATAAGAAACGATTTTGGCTGCTTTATTATTGTTACCTTGGTCCCGTACATGTTTTATGGTTCTTGATAAGCAGAAATATTGTGCTTTTGCAACAACGCAGAAACGGCGCTTGGGAGCCGAGGCGGTGCGGTGCGGTGCGTGCGGCGCTCGGGAGCTCGCTGTCGTATTTATTAAAATTCGAGGGCAGGAGCATGATTCTATCTGTTTTGAAATTATTTACGATATGTTCACCTTAAACACGACGAATGGTTTACCTTGGTCCCGTACATTTTGTAGAGTTCTTGGTAAGCAGAAATATTGTATTTACACAACGGCAATGCAGAAACGGCGCTGGGGAGTCCAGGCGGTGCGGTGCGCGCGGCGCTCGGGAGCCCGCCATCGAAGTAACTGAAATTCGAAGGTAGGAGCATGATTCTACCTGTTTTGAGATTATTTACTATACGTGCCGCCTTAAACACGACGAATGGTGTGCAATGATTTTTTCTAATGTTAGGTAGGAAAGTACACCTACACCATGCTTATGTGGAATAACGAAATGCCAATCAGACAAAAGTCTCAACATTCATGTATTAAAAAAAAAACAAGACCCTCAGCTCCAGCACAAATATACCTGAGCACACCTTGGCCAATCACCTCGCATGCAGTATTCCACAAGCACTCAACAGCTGGTAGCCTAGGCCACAACATTCATAACTGGCAAGTTGTGCTGTAATGAATCATTACATTATCAGCTTTGCTCCAAAATATTTAAATAGGCCACTACTGTGTAAACTGAGACACGGTGCGAGTTGGCAACGAACAACATACATATGACTAGCCCAGAGGCATCTGAAATTACTTGAACACAACCTGATCCTCCGACCGCCATCCCCAATACTGCGCCACAATTCAAGTGTTTTGCGGATTTTGCGACTGAGAAATGTGATTACACTTAATCGCCACAAACAAACCAAAGATGCCGCTAGCACAGCACTGCTAACTTTTGGTACAACATCCTAAATCTGGTGTTAATTCTGATTCTGGTATACTTGTAGTATGTGTCGATACCTACTAGTCAAAACTTTGGAGTACCCGGTGTTGTATTGCGCCTGATGATCGAACGGAACCGCCACTGTGCATTAGCTGATAGGTAGGTAGGTGGAGTGACGAACGTGGAGTGCCTGTGTCAGTAACGGAGGTGTGGTGGTTCACCAGTAAAGGAATTCCCCGCGGTGCCCGCCCTTCCTGCCAAGGGTGAGAGGCAGGCGACGCCATATAGCCTCAGCAGCGAGTGCGTCGTAAAGTCCCAATCACACACACACACACACACACACAACACACACACCACACACACAGTAAAGGAATGAGAAAAATGGATTACATTTATTTTTTATGCCGCTCTCCAGAATGAGACGATATGACTCAGTGTCAACTGTTAGCTTCCTATGTTAACTGGATGGGGGGCCCTATGGTCACTGTCCCTGTAATACTTGTGTGTATTTGCCATGCTGTCTGTATCTCAGTTTTCCATCTTTGTGACATACCTCTTCATTCAAGATTGGAACAGCTAAGGGTAGTCTTGACAATGACAGAAAGTTTGGGCAGTTCCCTGTATCCTGGCTGAATATATTTCTGTGAAGTATGCCATGTGGATGTATCACTTGAACTTCAATGGCACACCCTGAAGTTCATTTTTCCCATAGTTATGAAATATATCAGCAGTAGTTATATTTAAGTGATTGGGCATAGTTTGTTGTGTCAACAATGGTCTATCTACCAAGGGGTTTGAAGCAAGCTATAAGATAACAAATTACATTCAGAGTACATAATCTTCATTTCTGTCTCCTATGAATGGCAAAATAAACTATTAACATGTGATGCCCAGGTTTTTATGCTGGCATAGTGCATATCTCTGGAGCTGGGGAAAAGACTTACTGACTTCATTGTGTGTATCTGGTCATTAACTCATTGGTACTGTTCAGCTGCAGTTGCAACAGTTTTGACACTAATTAAGCTGCTAGTTTGTCTTTCCAAGCAACTGAAATGAACCTGGTGACATGTCTGGGCACTACTCTTAGACTTCTCAATATATTGGGGATGTTGTAAGTTGTACAATTATGGATGAAGGGTTTAGTCATTATCTGGTAGGCAATTTGCATTGGCCAATGTTATCAGGAATGCTGGGTTCAGGATTTCAGATGGTATAAGAAAGCAACATCCATGCCAGCCAGTTATCAGCAAATATATAAAATTCTTGAGATATGGCAGATTTCATAGCATACATTTCCATCTGGATATTTTATTGACCATGAAACAAAGGAGCTTTCCAATGCCTTTGCAGGACTGCAACATATAAGGACACTAGTTTCAACTGTCATGCCTCTAACCATGGACAATAAGACACAATGAAAAGCCTGCATATAATGAAACTGCTTGCAGCATACCACACAAGGAATCAGTGTTTGGTTGAACAATCTTCACTATATTATTTTCACAGACCAGTCAGGTTAAGCAACCTTTACTGTATTATTTGCACAGACCAGTCATGCTGGTCTATGACCAGTCATGCTGGACACTCATGTCACCCAGTATGCTGACAACACCCAGATCCTGGTATCAGATGTTAAATGCAACCTTCCCTCATCCAAAACATGGGACCACCCTGTCCTCCCTAGCATCCTGGTTCCATCTCCAGGGTCTCAAGCTGGACACATCCAAAATTTAACTCCTTGGCACTTGACAGGAACATCCACAGACTCTTCCCTGTCAGGGTGCTGGTTGGTGGGCAGACTGTTTGGGAGAGCCTAACCTTAATAAAACTTGGGTGTGCTATTTAACCTGCTACCTGGGCCGGGACGCACACTGGGTGATGTACTATAAAACTGTGTGGGCATCCTGATCAGTCCCCACACCTGAGGCCTTCCTTCTGGCAGTGAGTGCTGCTGACCATAGTGCAGGGTGTGGTCGTCTCCCACGTGAGATACTGCATTTTGGTTCATGGCCAGGAGTCAGCTCTTAGTGAGACCAGGACTGGTTAAAGTAGCTGACTTCACTACTAGTGTAGTTCTTGGCCAACAAAAGTATGAAAGTGTGACCATGTCTCGTGCGCGGTGTTACCTGCACTCTGTTACGCCTTGCCAAATGTGTGGCATACAAACTGTTATTTCTGCGCACAAAGCCCATGAGCGAGGTGAACCTGAGGGTCTCGCCTGCTTGTTTCAAACATACACTGATGCGCGGACCAGAGACCGATCTACCCGCATGGACCAAACTCTGCGTTCCCGGCGGTGGGCACGGCGGCAGAACAGCGGTCCTTTGCGTACCCAGCGGCGTCTCATTAATGAGTTGCCTATAGGTGTTCGACTACTGAATTCAATGATTCTTAAGCATGCTGCCAGGTCCTTTCTGTGCGATGGGATGGTCTCCCATTGTTCATATGCGCATGTGTGTGGGTGTTTTTAAGCTCTTATCACTTTTCGTTGTTTTTTGACATTATTTTATCTTTCAGACTGATGACACGTAAAAACCACGTTTGTATGTGGGGTGTCGGCTGACGTCAAATACAAGTACAAATGCAAGTGCTGCTAAGTAAAAGAAATGCGCCTCATTTTTGCGTACTGTTCTGCCTATCTCACCCATTCTTGGTTTTATTCCATTTCCAGCACTGCAAGTTGCCATGCAGCCTCTGATGAGCTCGGTTCATGCCAGTGGGAACGGCATGGAGGTGGGCGCCACGTCAGTTCAGGACCCCAGCTGTTCACTGTTGGTTCCGGCCGAGCAGCAGATGTTGAAAATAATCACGGACCAACGCTCCCAGGGCGCCTCGCTGTCTGAAATCCTTGGCGACCTTGAACTGACCTCTGGTGCTGACAAGCCAATCTTTCGATTGGCTCCGTCACTGGATGAGCAGGTATGGTGACGTGAGCTTCATTCATTTGGCGTCCACTTCTCCGGGCTGCTTGTAGTCCATGTTTTGCAGCAGTGTCCATCCCATCTATCCAAATGGACAGAAGGTTTTTCTCTTAGCATATTAAGCCATCACTATTAACTAAAGTCGCCTGTCGGTGATTCGTGAATCGGAACTGGTGCCCTTCGAGTGCCTGTCGCAGTCCTGAGATCCTAGCGCCCCCGCCGTGATCGTGCACTCCGCCATTTGGGCTACGGCGCCCGCGGGTCCTAATAAATCAAGACAAATATATATATATATATATATATATATATATATATATATATATATATATATATATATATATATATATATATATATATATATATATATATATATATATATATATATATATGTATATGTATATGCATGTGTATAAATATATGTAAATATATACATATATAATATATGTATATATGTGTAAAGATATATGGATATACATACACATACATATACATATATATATATGCATATATATATATATATATATATATATATATATATATATATATATATATATATTATATATATGTGTATATGTATATGCATATGTATAAATATATGTAAATATATACATATATAATATATGTATATATGTGTAAAGATATATGGATATACATACACATACATATACATATATATACATATATGCATATATATATATATATATATATATATATAAAGCACAGTTCAAGTAAGGCATCATGTTCTGTATCGTGGTTGGGTGCGATGTACTTCTGTCTGCCCTCACACCAGCTGTGATGAAGCCTGCCGCCGCTGTTAGTGCGCCGTGTTGCAGCCGCGCACCCGCCGCCTGACGCCGCCAGCCGGCGCTGCAGCGCGTGAAGCCCGATTCGTGCCGTACGAGCCGTACGCTGGCTGTGTGTCGCCGCTGGCACCGCCGGAGGAGCTGGCCGCGCCCGCCGCCAGCGCCGGCCTCAGCCCGGCCCGACCGCCGGTAGCGGCGGAGCAGCGGCAGACGGACGCCCAGCTGAAGCTGCTCCAACGCGAGAAGGAGCAGCTGCAGCAGCAGCTGAACGTCTCTATGGAGGTGGGTTGACGGGACCGGCCGTCGCTGAACGGCCGGGCAAATGCGGCTGTCTCGAGCGCTCAATAATTGTGATTGCGTCAGCCCGTGACCAGCGCAGTGTGGGGTGGCCGGGTTGTCCTTTGTTTCTGCATAGCTAAGTGGTGACGTTTTGGACTGCACTGGCGTGCACGCCTCATGTTACGCGGAATTCATCTGTGACTTTGCATCGAAAAAGGCTGGATAGTCCCCTCCATCACGTACCGGGTGGCCCCCAAAACGTCTCGCCTTGGTTTTTTCCCAAGTCCTTCCTTTCGAGGCTGCATGTAAAAATATGCCCATCAGTGTACAGCGTGATACGTAGGAATTTATTCACAACAATCAGTGAGTCTTTACTCAAGTTCGGCGTTCGGGGAGGAAGTATGCCATGTGTGGACCATGTTTCACGCACGTGATCCATCCCCGAGTGCCGAATCATCCTTTCAACACACTTAGTGCCCCCCCCCCCCTCTTGGCCTAATGGCACTATACGAGTGTGCAGTTGGCCGGCGATATACCGTGTGTGGTGGTACTCATCGCTCGCTCGATTTGACCTAGTGTCTGGGGGCTTTTTGTGTACACGGCACTATTGTGATGCCCTCACAGATACAAATCTAGGAGGGGGGGGGGGGGGGGGATGCCGGTGTGCACGCTGGTCTGGGTAAACCTTGAAAAGATGAGTTCAGGGTAAGGTTGAACACATTTGTTTATCTCGCTGTGAAGTAGGATTTAATATTGATACCAAATAATGAAGTCGCGTGGTTGATTTCTAGGGGATCTTCGTTTTGAACGCGAATACCTTTATGGGACACGCTACACCATCACCACTTTCCTGGTGAGCGCATGAACGCGTGAATGTCGCCAGGTGACGTCGGAGCTGAAGAAGCTGCTGGTGGCCTCGATCGGTGAGGACATCGAGTCGCGCCTCCACCTGCTGACCGAGGACAAGGCGCACCTGGCGCAGCTGGTGCGCACCTTCTCGGCGGAGGCGGCCGAGCAGGGCGAGGGGCGCGACCAACTTTCCATCCAGTGCGACGTCTGGCGCTCCAAGTTCATGGCCTGCAGGTGGGCATGGCGGCGGCCGACAGCGGCGTTTCGCTGAGTCGGGGCGCTGGAAGTCCTCGGTCGCGGCTATTCCCAGAGTAGAAACCGCGCTGCCGGTGGACGATTTTCGGGCTTTCCCGCCCACGGATGCGGTGTCGCAGAGCGGCACCTTGCGTGACCCCCAACTGGCAAGTGGGCCAGTGGGTCCTCGAGCGGAGTGCTGCGGTGTGCACCGGTGACAGGGGACCTGCCTTTTCCGCTCCTGCCGCCTGCCATTGGGCCAGGACTCATCCAGTGATGCTGTTGTCTGACGGCCATTGCCTGCGATGTGTGGTGTTTTGCCACGCCCGGCCCGGCCGCATAATGTTGCGTCGGCGTTCCTGCCGGGCCGTGACGGCTTGCCCGACCCCTTCCTAGCAGCCCTGCAGACAGCCAAAGGGTTCTGCCATGCGTCTGTGACAGCTGACCAGTTCTCCCGCCCAATGGCTGGAGGCGTCGCAGTGGCCCGGCATGGTGTCAGTGACTGTAGCCGTCACTGACGGACGTCAGCCGCTGGGCGCTGACGTCTCCGCCTGCCCCACCTTGCAGCCTGATGGTGGACGAGCTGGCCGGCTGGAAGGCAGTGCTGGGTCGCCGGTGCCGGGAGGCCGAGGCGTCGCTGCGCGCGATGCTCGCCGAGCGCCGCCAGACAACTTACCTGCTGGAGACGGCCGCCAGGTCTGTGTCGCGGCCACGAGTCAAGAGGGAGGGACCGCACGGCAACAGCGAACGTAGTGGGAATGAAGCCATCTATCTCGGTGTGGGCGAGGGTAGGCGACAGTACAGTCACTCGGCGCTGACATCGGATCTGGTGAGGGCGTTTGGTTGAAAACAGGCGATGGGAGCTTTTGGTAGTGAAATCATTGTCACACTTGTCTACCCCAATACGTGCTAGATACTGCACCTCACACTCCATTCGCATGGCCCCGCCACAACCGGACAAGGTCTGTTGTGAGCGCCGCCGCCCGTTAGACGCTAGTCCAGCAGGATGCTGCTGTTGTAGGCTCCGCCGCCCGTTAGACGCCAGTCGAGCGAGATGCTGTTGCGTCATGGCCGCTGCCCAGAGATCCCTGGCTTCGTCATCGGTCTGTGTATCGTCCTCGAGTTCGCCGGCGCCCTCCGAGACGTCGACGGCGTCGGCGCGCCGCGCTCCCACATGAGCCCCGATGGCCGACAGGTGCCTGGCGACGTTGCGAGACGCGTTCGACCCGCTGGCGGCCCAGGCGGCCGGCGCCGGCCCGCCGCGCGACGACGCCCTCCAGCCGGCCGAGCGCGTCAGCAGCCTGGCCGGCGTGCTGCACGAGCGGCTGCTGGGCCGACCGCCGCCAGACGCGCCGCCCGCCGTCGCCGCTTCCGCCGGGGAGGCGCGGCTCAGTCCGGCGGAGGCGGCCGCCGAGAAGGTATGACAATGGGCCACCGGCCGGCTCCGGCTGACCCGGAAGCTGACTGACTGCTGATGCAGAGAAGGCGTCACCTGTAACGGCCATCACAGAGGGGAAATTTGATATGTATGAATGTAATGAATATAAGACAAGTTTATTCTAGCTCAGAAAATGAGGCGTTTTACGCCTGCATAAGCAAGTTTTGCAGATATCCGTGCTGAGCAGTATGGTTGCTCTAATTTGTATGTAACGCTGAAAATTGCATTTCACGTGTTGTACTATGCACCACGCGCGCGTCGGGTTGACAACTGCCGATATTATTTTCTTTAGCGGTGTTCGTGTGCTCAAATGTGCTGCCTATGCATATGTGACTGTCACCACTACTGGTGCCTGAGTGTCGGTATTGCTGCTCGCTGGAGCGGTGCCATGTCCCGGCCGTTCGCCGTTGCTGGCGTTTGACGCCCCGATTGCGCTCCTCCAGCTGCTCTCCTCGTCCGTCTGCTACCAGTTCTCGACGCACCGAGACGCATGCAGGGACCGGGGCATGCTGGAGCGCTTCCACCCGCAGGCGCGCATGGAGCACCTGACGATGACCTGCTGCCAGCATTGCAGCGGCGAGATCCAGGTGGTGTGAGCACGGCCCAGGGCCCGGCCAGGCTCTGCGCCCGTGGCGGCGCTCGGTGGCGGCTGGCCGCAGAAGGAGCAGTTGTATCAGACCTGCCCCGAGCGGAGCCTGTCCCAGGCAGGGATGGACATGTGTGGTGTTTATAGGTGCGTCAAGCCCTGTGAACGTGCTTCTGTAGATATGGCGTGGGTCGAAGGCAGGCGGAGACGGGTATTAGTGGACAGGGCTGGGCACAGTGATGTCTGGTTTTGGTGATGAGCACCAGTATGTTTATATAGATAGCTAATTTGTGGTCACATTTTGCACTCCGAAGCCAATTCACGTATGCCAGGATGTGTGCAATGCTATTCCTTTCAGATGAAACTCCCATTTGACGGTGCAGGTATGGTGAAAGTAAGCGCTAGGTCATGGTGTGGAATACGAAAGAGGTGCCTCTTTACTTGGCATGGTTAGATGTTGTGCAATATGCGGGGTTGAGACGCATACAGCATGCTGATCGAAGCTGCACACAATTGTTGACGCGCTGACACTGTACTGTCGTGCTCAACTTGCCCCATTGACACTTGGTTACGAGGCGTCATTGTCACGGCTGGCGCTGCGCTGTGCTGGGGACCTGGACGCCTGTAGGTCCTGTCCGCGCCATCTTCGGCGTTACCCGTGGCGGACTTGCGCCGTCCCCATTCGTTAGCGGCAATATCAGATCAGCGACCGATTGGATCCTCGCGGTCGGCGCGTAGCGCCTCTCTGTGAGCAGTTCTGCAGTGGATATTACGCACATGTGACGGCATCACGCTCGCCCTTGTCTCAACAGGTTGTGACTAAGCCCACCGTCGCTGATGTGTCATCAGTCTGGGCAAACGCTTTTAAGTGAGGCGTGTGCATTGCCCATGTCTTTTCGCACCAATGTCCAATGCCTTGCTGGGTTACGTTTTTTTTTTTCGTCACGGAGCTCTTTCTCCACGATGAGTTGTGGTTTAGCCCATCATAATCCCTTGTGGGCCTCCATTATGCACGCGCTGGGCTGGGCACTGCCGACCGATTGTGTGGAAACATGGCTGTTATCCTTACAACAAATATACTTAAATTTAGCAATTGTGACAGTCCTCCTCCGCATGTTTCTGGCGTACATTCTTTCTGAATACATTAAAGGAAATTGCGTGCGCTGAAGAAAATAGAATCTCACAAACTCGGTCCACTTAATTGACGAAAAACTTGCCATCAGCGTTGTGGTGCTAATGGGTAATAGTGTGTGTCATCAACAACAAAACCAAGCGAGACCAAGAAGTTCTTTGGCGTTGGAGCCCCCCCCCCCCCCCAAAAAAAAAGGCATAGCAAAGGTTCTTCCCCAAAACTCAGATTCGTGACGCGCGAGCCGATCAAAATATCTCTGTAAATCGACGGCGTTGCAGTCACCGCATGCTGGGCGGCGCCGGCCGCCGCATGTAACACTAAGCCATGGACGGCAAGTGATACAACATGGCTTTGCATGTAGAAACGATGCTACCCAATGCTTCTTAAGCCGTCGTAAGAAAATGTCCCGATATGAGGTCTAACATGCGGATCAGACATTGCCCGATTGATCGCCATATTGCAGAAACTTAATGTGGTGTTGAGTATGACCTTGTGCGAGTACGTTGGTTAGTACTGCTTTGGGTTTTCACTTCTTTAAGACAATTCGCGTCCTGCAAACAGAACCATGCATAACATATGACTCAGAATTTATTGTCTGGTGTACAATGTAACACATGTAACAAGGTTTGCAGCCTGCACCGCGGGCGTAGAAGAGGGGGAGGGATAGGGTGACCCCATGCACATTTTGTTCCTGGCCGGGCCCGCATATTCGATACACGGGCCCAAGCGCCGAGTGGGAGCGCCGCGTGCTGGTCGAGCGTCCCGCTGACCAGTCTAGCCTTTTTTGAATGACTGGCCTGCATCCAGACAGCGGGCGGACGGAATGGTGCGGCGGCAGCGGCGGCGACGGCTGCCTCGGTGTGGCCTGCTGTTATGATCACCTGCGGCAGACGCATTTAAAGGGGCTGTGATAGAAGCACAACAATCATGTAAGTGCTGAAAAGAAGACAGTGCATCTTGTAATAATGCATGCATTTTCAAGTTGCGTATGGACGAATTGAGACATAAAGATAGATAAAGATTCGAGCGATTGTATAATAGATTGAAGTTGAAAAGGCAGTCTGATACTTTTGAGTGTGCAATAAGTTAACAATTACCAGCTTACCTCCATAGAAGCAAATCTTTCTCAGACGCTTGGGAGAACCTGGCGTTGCCTGAGCTTGGTCGTGTTGAGGCCATGCCGAGCCTCCTCGCCCACCTCCGCCGAGCACGCCTCGGTGGCGGTGCGCATGACCCTCCGCACCGCCTGGGTGTTAGCGGGATCGGACGGGATAGCCAGCGGAGCCTGCAATTTGTCCTGCAGCTCGCTGTCGCTGAGGTCTTACAATGGAGGCTGCGGGACTGGTCCGCGCCAGATCAGTTGGATATACCCCACGTCCTCGAAGTTTGTCGCTGGGATGGCGGAGATCCTAGGCTGAAGAAGATCCTCGGTTTGATGACCACGCGCGACGCGACAATCGCAGCCGCCTGTTGGCGAGTCACACGGTTCTTGTCCCCAGCATGTCCAGCAGCGGCTGCTCCCGACGGGCCCAGCACCTGATGTGTTGAAGGACTGACTGCACCGTGGCCTGTGTGCTGCGGCAGCTCGTGGAGTCGCGCGATGCTCCGGAACAAGTTGTGTGAGCCAAAGTCGCAGCTGCTGTTCTGGCGGATGGCGAACCATACCGGCACATAGTGGCCAGCTAACCTCGTACTGGACGAGGTCGTTAAGAGTGGTGCTGGAGGTCTCGGCAGATATTTAGGTCAGGGGCAGGCGAACGGTCATTGTCAACTATCTGAAAACAAAAGCGAATATATTGGGACAATTCGTTACGAACTGAGCATGAGATCATACGAAAATTATTGCGCCTCTAACACGCGCTCGGATGCGGGGTCAAATTGACCACCCCCCCCCCCCTCGAAGGTTTTCCCAAAATGATTTCCGAACGGCCCGGCAAAGCCGCGCCAAATTTTGCATAGCTATGTACAATTGAATAGCCGAGCGTCTGACAACAAAGATGTAGATGTACCGTGTAAGGTCGCTGACCCATAGCAGGTCAAAGTCAGGCCATGGTTTCAGCGAAGGCACGTTCTAGGGAATCGTTCAATTCGATCAAACAACGGAGTGTTAGACGAAGTTGTACATCTCTGAGACACTGTCTCAAGCAACACAACAATTGAGTAAACCAATAGTATTGAACTGGGGTCAGGTATGAAGGTCAGACCAGGGTTAAAAACCAACCTGTTTGATTACTCCCGGGCTTGCTGTATGGGATGGTTTCTGGTGCTCGTTTCGAATATATTGATAGCAGGTACTGCATTATACACCTTCCATGGACTTGATAGGTCTGAATAGCTCACTGGCCTTAAACGACCCAGGTCAACATTATTTTTTTAGGAGCATACTGCCTGGCGTAATTTTTGTCGCTTATCCAAATGCAAAACTCAAAGCAGTCATATCGTTTTGATAATCATGACCTTTGAAAGGCAAACAAGATCACTGACCCTAACTGAGCGTGTGGCATTGTGCTTAGAACAGTTGCCTAGGTTTTAGGGTCCCTTTGGAGACCAACCTGGAAGTTGATCTTGTTTGACCTTATTTGACCTGAAGTTCATGACCTAGGAGCCTCAAACTTTGACCTAAGAGAGTTTACGTACAGATCAACGCACTCTGTGAATTTGGTGTCTCTAGCTCTCTTAGTTTCCGAGATCTCAGGGGGGTCAAGTTGACCCCCACCCGAGCGAAGGGTATCCAACCGGCCACCCGGGCGCGTGTTAATGTATGGGATTATGCCTAAATTCAGAGCACTTGATTGTAGCGGAATACCGATCAGCAAATGTACTAGTATGAACCAACGAACAAATGATTTGACATACTATGGCATAACTTATCACAATGAGTAAATACCCAATAGTGAGCACTTGAAATGCCAAGTGATATGTGATAAAGTTTAAACATTCATGGCTATACATTCGTAGATAATGCGTTTCCATATTTACTTGGCATGGCTCGATGGTCCGATTCGCCGCCAGTCTGTCGCGGTCCGGTCGGAGCCGTTTTTAACGCCGGAGGCCAGCAGGTACAACAGCTGCTGGTCGGTGCTCAGCTGCTGGATCA